TTAATTAATTAATTAATGGTGTATTTATTTATTTAATTTTGGCACTCTTAGCCCTCCATAACAACCCCCCCCTTCAGAAGTGTATTATTAGTGTTTTGGAGGCCAAGGTGAGGGGGGCGGCAAAGGACAATAACAGGAGGCTTAATATTAATATCTTGAACATAATTGAACTGGTTTTGGTTGGGGGCCCAAAATCTCTAATGGTGTCCCTTCTACATTATATCTTGCTATTTAGCCAGGCACTATAGCCCACAGCAGTATATTTACCCGGGAGCAGATGCGTCTACTTCTCCTGGTCCAGACCACTCTGAGGCTGTCAGGCTGCCTGTAACCACAAAGTCAAGGAAGCAAAAACAGGTTATTATAACTGCAATGCCAGCTGAAACCAGGGGAGGACAATATGGCCAAAATGTCATGATACAGATCACTGTTTTTTGTTTTTGTTGTTATTGTTTGTTTATTTACAAATCAACCTAATTGGAATGTATGTAATAATTTTATTTCAGCATTTAACAACTTAAGCAGCAATTCTATCGTTACAAGAAGCACTGCTTATAGCATAAGAATAATAAACTTAATTATTAAGGTATGTAATTCACTGACTCATTATAGCAAAAGTGCTTTTAAATTTTTTTGATTCTTGGATCATGTAGCACAGAGAAAGGTCCCCCGAGCTTTCATAGCATGTGTCCCAGAGGATTGTGGGGCTGTGGGCAACAGGATGGGACTGGGTGGTATGGGAGGAAAGGGAGGGAAGGCCCCACCTATTTGGGCGGGAGAGCAAGCTGTACAGAAAGAGCTACAAAAAACTACTCCATTTCACCCAAACGTCTCGAGTCTTAATCACCAGATCTACAATACTGAAGTTTCAAGTACAAATGAACATTTACCACTTTGACCAATAACTGTGCAATGCCGAACTCAGTTTCCAGCAAATACAAACAATTAAAATATACTGGTTACGTTGCCACCTGTTGTACGAATGGTATCTTAGAAATGTTAGCACATTACATCAGACTGGTTCATGCCGAATTTGCAAATCTAAATCATTTCCAGACAATATAAGCAGCCTATTCTTCTGGAACCACGTCATCCTCATACGCCATGCTGCTCAGTCTATTTATCTGACAGCATAACAGACCCATCCATGGACCATGTTTTGCTTACCGCATGACACGAGTGCCTTATTTTTAGCAGTTTGATGGTGATTTTTAGCAGTCTGATGAAGTTTTTTTTTTTTTTACCAAGTTTGATAAATTACGTTTTTATTTCAAGATCTAAGTTAAGATCCATTGAGACACGTGATTGAAAAAAACATGAGATATACAGACAGCACTGAGAGGTTATGAAGGCTGAATCTGCTTTTTCACATATGACCGTTTTTGTTGTAATACCATTATAGCCTCCGAATGTGTAGGCAGGTGCTTGCTGGTTTGTTTTGTAGTTTTAATAAGTGTTAAGTAGTGCACTAACTGTGCATTCACTAGAAGCGTAGCCTAGCTGCACTTCTGCTTAGTCAACTCCTCAACAGCACATATGTTTGTAATGTGCCATTTGCCCCAATTGTCACTTTGGACAAAACCATCTGATAAATAAAAGTAAATGCAAATGTATGATAAAGTACTGGTCATGATACGTTACCATCATATCAACCACCACTAGTAGAAACCCAGTGTTCCTCTGGCTGCTGGGAATTTTGGTAGATAAGTAGAGAGACACAGAAGTAGACACAGGGAGACATATACATGCACTTAGCAGTAACCATCAATATGGACATTGCCCCTAATTCCTTAGGGACATTCCCACATTCTTTAATTGCTCTACTCTGCACATTTGTACTACACTGTTCGTTTGATTCAGCTCACATAAAAGTTCCATTCTGATTCATTCACCAACTCATTCAGTGGCACTTCCTATTTTCATAGAATAATAATAATCTGAAACACTTGTATTCCGATATGTACAAACATAGCTTATTATTTAGGCTAAGTAGTGCTAAAGAGTAAATACTACCAATCATATTTGTCATGTGAGAAAAATATGTGTCATTCAATTGTTGTCAGGGTCAGCCCCTGTTGTCCCACCCTGTGTCCCTTCCCCGTTTGGCCAGCAGCCATTGCTGCTCATCCCGTTCTTCATGTTAGTCTTTGTTCGCCCCTGTTTCCTGTCTGTCCACATGGCTCAATGTGTTGAGCATGTGGTTGCTTGTGATCCTTGTCCTGTGTTTGAATCCCACCTCCTCTGTTTTTGTATTTTGCTCCCTAGTGTTTCATTTGAGTTTCTCTAGTTCTTGTGTCGGATTTTGTAGTTGGTTTTTGTTTTGTTCCTTGTGCCCCTGCTTGTGTCTTTACCTGTTTATAATTCCCTAGTGTTGGTTTCTGTTTCCTTGGTTAGTTCTTCGTTTCCCTGTTTTGTTCCTTTGAGTTTATTAGTTTCATCTGTGCCCTGTTTTCCTGGTCTCTGTTAATTAGTCTCACCTGTCCTGTGTTAGTCTTATTACCCAGTTTGGTTTCTGTATTTAAGTCCCTGCTTCTGTTCTGTTCCCTAGTGGTTCGTTGATTGTGTTTGATTTGTATTGAGAAGTGTGTGTGGTGTGTATGTTGCTTACCTGCCCAGTTTTTGTTATTTAGTCTTTATTTATCCCCTTTAGTGTTTGACCCCTCGTGGTCCTTTTGGTTTTGTTGTATTTGTAGTGTTTTCTGTTTTATTTAATAAACCCCATTTTTGTTCTTGGAGCCGCCAGTGGGTCGTCCACCCTTTTTGTGCACTATGCCTCATTCTCGCGTCCGAGCCGCCCGGAACCATGACAATTGTAGTATAAGGCTATGTTTGAAATGTCCACTTGCCCACAATGAAGTGCACTATATAGTGAGTTGGCTATTTTTTTGGGCTGTTCCAAGTCTCAACTGTAAATTTAATTCAGTATATAGTGCACTACCAAATTGGTGCAAGGCACACATAAAATGAAGTGTGCAGAAGCTGTACCTTACATCAATTGACTTAGACCATCCTGCACTGCAGCCTGTCATGTGACTGTTGGAACCATATTAGAGAAGCTTTGCACAGTCTGAACTTAACCATCAGGGCCATACCTGGAAATACTGGGCCAAGTAAATTGCATATGAAATACTCACTACAACAACAGTGCCAGGTCTACCGCTGCTTTAAAAACAAATGGGTTTTTTTAATGTATTTGATTGCTTTTTATTGGTAATGTTAATTCAGAATTAATACAGTATGTTGAAGATCAGCATAAAACACAGTGGTTACAGCTGCAGTCCTCATCATGCTTGTATAGGTGGATACAGTACAGTCAAATATGTTGTAAATGAAGTTCTGTGTGGCCAGATTTGTGTTTTGTTTTATTTTTATTTCAACATTGTAAAGATAAATGTCAATTACAATGTGTACTTATCAAAAAACAGCAATGTTGGTGTCCATATTCTGGCATGTTTTTTATTACAATAATGAAGAAGTACATTTTTCACATTATAGTTTAATGCTAGATGGGATATTCTGGAGTTTGATTATGATAACAATTAAGATAACAATTATGAATATCTGGTGCATAATAATGTACCAGTAGTACATTTGCCTAGTGTCCGAAATGTATCAACTGCTGTCTGCTCTTATCCCCTAGTGAGTGTTCTATGTAGTGAATACTATACAGGGAGTGAGTGAGTAAATGGATATTTCGAACACAGCCTAAGTCTGACAACATTGAACCTTAGCTACTCATGTTTGGTAAAAATGCAAATCTAAGAGGTCAGATAACAAGTCCATATGATAACAAACCTTGGTTAAAATAATTTTAAACCATGAAAATACTGCATCTTTAAAATCCAACTGCATCATACAGGAATTCACTGCACATGTTGGCTATATTCTGCAACAATGCATGTTGTATTTCAGTCCTGACTGATACTCGGTATAAGAATGCACCATGACATATTTCATGATGTCCATGCACATGGTAGGGATGTGGTTAATTAACATGGTTAATTTCTCATATTCACAAGTGTAATTCATATATTTCTCCAGTGCAATATGTATAGTTAGTGCAATTTGTATATTTTGTAATATATTCTTTTATTACTCATACCTCACATTGAGTCGCCTGCACTTTTGCAATTTCGTTGTCAAGTGACAATGACAATAAACATTATCTTATCTTATGTAACAATGCACTGTGGCACAAAATTAATGTTAATGCAAGAGGGGGCAATAGGCATATTCTCAGTTTTGCTTTCAGATTTTATTTTTGCTTTTTTCAATGGAGTCAGCAGAATCAGGAAAAAAATGCAAGATGCAAAAAGCAATGGTTTGAAAACAACTTTTTTTTGTAAATGTACATGCTTTAAAAGGAATAAGAACTGTGACATTTTAGTTTTTCAGTCTTATTTTGTTGACTATATTGTTTGTATCGAGCCATGAGCCCTGAATCATCTATCAAACTGAATCATGAGTAGACTGTATCATGACACCCCCACCGACCAAGTATGGTTCTCTTGTTCAGTCATAATGAAGAGGTAGCCTATCTTAATCTCTCGTCCACCTGCTCACTCACCAACTCGTTCAAAATGAGAACGAAAGACCTGAAAGAGTGACCTATTTGGTGAGTAAGTGTGTAAACAACAGACCCCTTTGGGTCTCTCGTTCAGTCATGACCAAGAGGTAGCCTATCTTTGTCTCTAGTTCACCCACTCACTCACTCACTCACTCACTCACTCAAGTCATTAAGAGAGGGAGACGTTCGTTCACAGTTCACAGTGTTTGTTTGTTCATTCTCTGTAGTGGTATATGTTCAGTCCCAAATTTAGCTTCCAGCTAATCATATGCTTGCTTACAGCACGCCCTTACATGCCTCACCGGTGACTTTTGAGGAGGGAAACGGCATTTAAGTCACATTTCCGAGGACAAGCAGAAGAACAAAGTAAAACAAATCTGTGTAGGGAAGTGAACATGAGTGTGAACAGCCATGGCCAAAAGTTTTGAGAATGACACAAATATTAATTTTCACATCATCTACCAGGTTGTGCATAGTTTCCCATCTGGTGCATGATACTCTGTGTGTACGGTTTGTGCTGCTTTGCCGTGTTCATCGTGGTTGGGTGTGCTGCCGTCGGCTGCAACAACTGCAGTGTTTGCAACAAAAGGGAAAGGATCCTTTTGAATTCCCAAACTTAAAAAAAAAAAGAGGATTGATGAAAGTGGATCTCATTGACAAGACCCTTAACAGCACCAGAGTTTGTGGAGATTAGGGTGACCAGACAATCCATGTCAGGGAGGACACTTTG